TTTTTAGCGTTTGGATCTTCTACCTCGTAACCGTGTGGAGATATTGGATTTCTCTCGGGATTATGGAACAAGGTGTGGCGCCCATCGCCCCATGGAAAAGGCTACAGAAGGAAAATATTTATAAGTCACTTGTAGGGAAATTGATCACGAAGCGTGAAAGCTCTTGTTGGGAAATTGATCACGACCGTAAAATTATCAAATATGAAAATATACTCGAGATTAGAAAGAGAGAGAGAGAAAAAAAAAACGAACAAAAGAAAGTATCAAATTCCTGTGGTGAAGGCAAACGATTTGTAAGACTTCGTTAATCGATTACGGAGAATACCGCACAAACGGATTACCTTTCAGAGAGATGTATGAAGCAGAAAGCTTCGGTCAGGCTGAAGAATCAGTACAAAGCTTCAACGTTACGCAAAACTACGCGCGCTTTATCGATTAATTAAAATGTCGAATTTGGTATATTTAGATAAGCGTAATAGAGTTTCAATATTTCAAAGAGCATCATTGGAAAAGTATAAATTCATAAGTAAGAAAGAAAGGCACCTTAGTTATTCTTCGCATATAAGGAACATCAATGAACTCGGGCCTCGGTTGCTTTCCCGATTCTTTTACCTTGGTGTAAACGTAATATGACACACCTATCAGCAGGATCAGCAGGATGTTAGTTATCAATTTCAAAAATGTATCTTGATAGGCCACTGTATTTATAAAACCATATATTACATCGTTAAAGCAGCTTTTAAAATTGTTTGCACGTAAAGATGAAAATTCAACTGCCTAGCTGAAATGAGTCAACTTTTAATAATTTTTATATATCTTTCAGATACACGTGTTACTCGATGTGTTGCATCGTGACAAGTGTAATAGATCAAAAGAAAAAAAAAAAAAAAAAGAAATGTCTCGAGAGCGACAACGTTCAGAAATATCAGAATTGATTAAAAACTAATATCGTAATATCGTATGACGCGCATTCTCTTCGATATCTTTATCTTTTCTGTCTGTTTGATTATTTTTCAAAATCTTGTTTCAGTTGAAAATTTTTACCTTTGGGACAGTAATCTTCCACGTCCGAGCAAGGAGAAGTATACTCGTCAAAAATATCCTGAACGGGTGGTTGACATTTTCTCGAAGGTTCAGAACATCCTTTTACGTCCTCGTCAAACTTTGAACAGCAATCATTGGGAACATCTTGATCCGTGGTTGTTGTTTCATCGCAATCATCTGACTTCGATTGATTTTTATTGCAAGGAGATTCTTTGAAAGAGGAATAGTTACGAGTGTTCTGGTAGCGAAATATTGCTTTGAACAAATCTTTCGGCTTCCGTAAGTTTTTACAGGAAGATGGATTTCCCGTGAAAGAATGAAACTTTAACATCGCATTCGACAACTTCTGCATGGATGAACTATGGTATTCCGTCGAAGGACAAAATTCCTTGGAGAACTTCCAAGAATGGTAGATCGGCGCCAAAGAGAACTGCAAAAGGATCGACGATCCACTGTTGACCAAGAAAGCACTTTTTTCATTGTGCCTCTTCATTTTATGGCAATACATTTCACAACTGCTCGCGTACTTGTTTCTTTCTGAAACGAACTTAACTGAAGAACCATCAGAACCATTGGATTTCTTATAAATACCTTGGGTCTCGACATTATTTGTAATATGCAAAATGTTGACTTCCGTTACGTTAAAATAGAAACCTTGCTATTTATGCTAATGCATGCAAGGTCCTACAACTCAGTCAGAAACTAAGATTTCTCTACAGTCTTACTTGCTACCTATGAATTTTAAACAGATAGTGTTGCTAACTCCCTTGAGAAAGAAGTGCTTCCTTGCGAACAACTATTTAAACCAAAGGGAGAAGTAAATCCTTAAACACAGGTGAACGCAAGCTGCATTTTTTACAAGTTTATTCTGAATTGTTTTGTCATGCAGAGCATTCGGCTCTCTGGATAAAATACAGATAGAAGTCGTTACAGAAAATATTGCAGCTTCAGGCAAGATTATTTGCCAGCAGGTATCTCATATGTTACAAACTAGTAATGACAAATTGAAACGTTTGAACGGAATACACCCAAAGAGACCATTTATTAGAATTTTCAATTTCCTTTTAAAAATGTCACGTGTTGTTGCGCCATGTCGATAACACGAACGTTTCATCATGATGTCTTTTTAATAATAACCAGTCGCTTATATTTCGGGAAAAATAAATGTAAAGGAGTTTCATTTACCTTCGTTTATTACGGGCAATTTTCTCTTTAACGACTCGTATCTTGAAATATCATTGGAACAAACTTTGTCGCTCCGGCAGCGATATCCTGTGCTCCAATTTCTTTTCTCCCCGTTCGGGAGACCAGTTAAGCTCACGCTCATTGGAAATAGCATTTCAGTGTTCGATTTGATTAATGCAGAACGCGTTATTTCATTGACAGACATCGACGACAAGATGTTTAACCTACACAAAAGCGAGAACATCGCGATGTGCCTCTTTTTTGCTGTTCTGTGATCTACCCGTGCTTTTTAGGAGGAGGATCGCGATTTGGATACATTTTTCTGGATAAGAAATGCGTATGCCATATAACCATATGGAAAAGTGACTTTTGAATCTCGACTGCACGTACGTAATCTTTTGTCACTTGAATTCGTCTTCCTTTGTTCCTTCGAGTACATTTTTACTATTATCTATCAGTGTTTAAAGAATCCGATATTCCTATTACGAATTCCTTCAGTCAGTCGAAAAAACTTTATAAGAATGGTGGTGGATATGAATGTTTTGAATCAGAAAATATAAAAAAATGTGATCCTCGACATGATTTTTTTATGTTATGTCTGTTTTATTCAACGGACAAGGTCATTTTCACACTTACGCTGTTTCTCATGAGGATTATTTTTCAAATTATTCTTCAAATAAAACTCTTCTGCATTAAGAAGTCGAATATTTATCGAGTAATGTTTACCATACATCGCCAAACACGGATAGCGTTTGACTAAGCATTTTTTATTTGTTAATGTACAATATTATGTACTGTGTCTTGGATTTTTATCATGACCAATTAGTATTAATAGAGAATATTTAAGTCGGGAAAATTATGAATAATTAATTTAATCAGCCATTTTATGTATACGTACCATTTATTGTATGTATAGTTTAACTCAAACGAATTACTCCAATTTTTATATCTGATCATCACTCACAAAAGTATACATAAAAGAACAATAATTGAAGATAAGTGAAAATTGATCCTGAA